GTCGTCGACGCGGACGTCAACAGCGCATTCCTCTCCGAGATGACCTACAAGTCCTTGATCCACAAGCTTGGCTACCTTAAACCCTATACCACCCGTGACCTACTCGACGTCGCCACTAAACATGCCTTCGGCGAGGAGGCAGTCGGAGCGGTCTTCAATGAAGGCCAGGACAAAGGCAAGGCCAAGCGCATGGACCAAGACAAGGGCCCCTCCACATAGAGGGGCAAGAAGAACAAAAAGGATCGGCGCTGATCGGACAACACCACGTTGGTCGCCACAGCTGATCGCAAGGGCAAGCAGCCCCAGTAGGGGCTGCCTGACCACTTCAACAAGCTCATGGACAGCCCATGCACCAACCACACCTACCCCATCAAACACCTCTACAAGGACTGTGAGCTCCTCAAATGTTTCCTCCGACAGGCCGGCAGGCCAAAAGAGGGGGACGACAAAGAGGTGGCAGCTAAGAAAGGAGACACGTCAGGCAAGGACAGACACGGTTTCTCCAACCCTGAGGAATGCATCATGATCTTACGTGGATCCAATGCCATTTGGACCAAACGCCAGCACAAGGTGCGCTATAGGGAGGCATGCGCCGCCGAGACGGCCGTCCCCTCCTTCCTCAGCTGGTTAGAATCTCCAATCACCTTTGATTAGAGGGACCATCCCTCCCACATCGCGAGACCGGGGCGTTACCCGCTCGTCGTCGACCCCATCATCCGCAAGAAGCACCTCACCAAGGTGCTGATGGACGGAGGCAGTGGCCTCAACATCCTCTACGTTGACACCCTTGATGCCATGCGCATCGCCTAGTCAGAACTCCGCCTTGCGAGTTCTCCCTTCCATGGGCTGATCCCGGGAGCGTAGGCATACCCACTCGGGCAGATCGATCTGCCCATCACGTTTGGCAACTGAGTCAACTTCCGCTCAGAGGTCCTCACCTTCGAAGTGGTGGACTTTCCAGGGTCCTACCATGCCATCTTGGGGTGGCCATGCTACGCCAAATTCATGGCGATCCCCAACTACACCTACCTCAAGCTGAAGATGCCAGGACCGAACGGCATCATCACCGTGAGCAGCGCCTTCTCACACGCCTTCACGTGCGACCATGAGCATTTCGAGCTCGCCACCGTGGTCGTCAACTCATCGGAGCTCCCATGGCTCAGGGAGTCATCGACCCCGGCAGACCCAGACTATAGCAAATCAACCTCCTCGATGGCCTTCTGCCCGCTCGAGGAAACCAAGGCGGTGGGAATCGACCCCACCAACCCAACCAAGACAGTGCGGATCGGGACCCAGCTCCTGACCAAATAGGAATGTGAGCTCGTCGACTTCCTGCGTGCTAATCGCGATGTCTTCGCATGGCAGCCTTCTGACATGCTAGGCAAACCATGGGAGGTCGCCAAGCACTCACTGCACCTCATCCTGGGCTCGAAGCCCGCCAAGCAGCGCCTGCGTCACTTCGACGACGAGAGGCGTAGGGCCATAGGTGAAGAGATTACCAAACTCCTGGCAGCCGGATTCATCAGAGAGGTATTCCACTCCGACTGGCTTGCCAATCCCGTTCTTGTTAAAAAGAAGACCGGGAAGTGGAGAATGTGTGTTGATTATACTGGCCTCAACAAAGTGTGTCCAAAGGATCACTTCTCTTTGCCATGCATAGACCAGATAGTCAACTCCACCTCGGGTTGCGAGATCCTCTCCTTTTTGGATGCCTACTCGGGCTATCACCAGATCACGATGAAAGAGTCCGATCAGCTCACAACCTCATTCATTACCCCATATGGTTCGTACTGCAACGTAACCATGCATTTTGCAATGAAGAACGCTAGCACCACCTACCAAAGGTGAATGCAGCAATGCTTCACCGACCAAATCGACCCACTCGATCAGCTTGATCAGGCCGAGCGGTCGAAACCAACAATCGCCGTCTCTGTTGATGACATAGTGGTCAAAACGGCTCAAGCTTGCGACCTAATCGCAAATTTGGCCACAACATTCACGAACCTCCGCAGGTTCAACACTAAGCTGAATCCTAAAAAATGTGTTTTTGGGGTTCCAAAGGGGAAGCTGTTAGGATACATTGTATCCGAGCGTGGCATCGAGGCCAACCCCAAAAAGATCATGGCCATCTCTAGCATGGGTCCCATACGCAACATCAAGGGCGTGCAAAGGCTAACTGGCTGTCTGGCCGCTCTGAGCTGGTTCATCTCTTGGCTCGGCGAATGAGGGATGCCGCTCTACAAGCTCCTCAAAAAGACGGACACCTTCGTCTAGACCAAGGAAGCTCAGCAGGCTCTAGAGAGCCTCAAAGCGTCCCTGACGTCGGCCCCAATCCCGCCGCTCCCAAACGAGGAGAACCCCTCCTCCTCTACGTCGTAGCCAGCAACCATGTGGTAAGCGCCGCCTTGGTCATCGAGAGAGGAACTAGGACACCACCTTAATGTCTAGTAGCCCATATACTTCTTCAGGGAAGTACTCACCGACCCCAAGGTATGATACCCCCAGGTGCAGAAACTCCTATACGCCGTTCTGATGGAGACCCAAAAGCTCCTGCACTACTTCACCGACCACAAAGTCGCGGTCGTCACTTCATACCCGCTCGGAGACATCATCCGCAACCGCGACACCATGGGATGGATCTCCAAGTGGGCTCTCGAACTCATGGGCCATGACATGAGGTACATCCCCCATACCACCATTAAGTCTTAGGCTCTCATGGATTTTGTCGTTGAATGGACAGAGGTGCAGCTACCAACCCTAGACGTCACCCATGAGTACTGGACAATGTACTTTGATGGGTCCGTAATGGCACCCGGCTCAGGAGCTGGAGTGGTTCTAATCTCCTCGGACAGGAGTAGGCTCCTCTACGCCATCTGCCTCCACTTTTTAGCCTCAAACAATGCCATGGAGTACGAGGCCCTCATCAATGGACTACGCATCGCCATTGAGCTTGGTGCTACGTGACTCTGCGTTCGTGGCGACATGAAGCTAGTCATTGATCTGGTCATGAAGGAGTCCTCCTGCAAAAGCCCCCTCATGGCAGCATACTACCAAGAGGTGTGCAAGCTCGAGGACAAATTCTAGGGGATCGAGCTATATCATGTCCCCCAAAAGGACAATGATGCCGCCAATTTTCTTGCAAAATTGGCCGCCAGATGGGATCCATCCCTAGCTGGGGTCTTCATCAACAACATCCATGAACCGTCCACCCGCATCCTAGAAGGTCTGATCTAGACACACCCCAATGCCCAGCCAGTGCCCAGGGGCTCTGACCCCGACGCTAAGCCAACGCCCGGGGGCTCTGATCCTAGTACCTCCATGACGACGTCACCCGCCAACGTCGCCGTATTGGCACTCGATCAAACCAACTGGCGAGCGCCGCTACTCGCCCACCTCCTTAAGGAGGTTCTCCCACCCGAAAGGACTAAAGCCAAATAGATCACTCGATGAGCCAAGACGTTCGTCGCGCTCGATGATGAACTCTACAAATGGAGTCCATTAGGGGTACTCATGAAGTGCATCCCCACCAACTAGGGGAAGCAGCTCCTCCTTGAGGTCCATGCCAAAATTTGCCAACATCACGCGGCCCCAATGTCGCTGGTCAGAAAAGCCTTTCAATAAGGTTTTACTAGCCCACTGCTCTACGAGATGTAGAGGAGGTCATCCGCAGGTGTGAAGGATGCCAGTTCTACGCTCTGTAAACCCATTTGCCAGCATAGGAGCTCCAAACCATTCCCATCACCTAGCCATTCATGGTTTCGAGCCTCGACAAGGTAGGACCCCTCAAAAAGGGCCTAGGCGGTTTCACTCACCTACCCGTAGCAGTTGACAAGTTCACCAACTGGATAGAGGCCAAGCCCATCACCAACATCCACTCAGAAGAGGAGGTCAAATTCTTCCTCGACATCATCTACCGGTTCGGCGTTCCTAACTGCATCATCACTGACCACGGGACCAACTTCATCGGGAAGAAGTTCCTGGACTTCAGTGATGGATACGACATCAGAATTGACTGGGCCTCGGTCGAACACCCATGTACTAATGGTCAGGTCGAGCGTGCCAATGGCATGGTCCTCCAAGGACTCAAGTCATGCATCTTCAACTGACCCAACAAGTACACCGGGCGATGAGTGGCAGAGGTCCCAGCGATCCTCTAGAGCCTAAGAATGACCCCGAACCGATCCATAGGGTTCACACCCTTCTTCCTAGCCTACGGAACTAAAGCAGTACTGCCCTCCAACCTCGACCACGGCACCCTAAGAGTGAAGGCTTTCGACCATGACCGAGCCGAGGAGGCTTAGCAAGATGCAGTCGACCTGCTCGAAGAGGCCCGCGAGACAACCGTCATTCGTTCTACTCGCTACCAGCAAACTCTCTGTAGGTACCACGAAAGGAAGATCAGGGGGAGGATACTCAAAGTTAGCAATCTCATACTCTGGAGGATCCAATCAACGAAGGAAAAACACAAACTCTCTCCACCATGGGAAGGACCCTATACGGTGACCGAAGTGATCTGACTAAGCACCTACCGACTGGAGGACGACAACGGCAACGTTCTTACCAACACTTGGAACATTGAATAACTACGTCGTTTTCCCCTAAATTTGGTCTTACTGCTTTTTTAGTCAAACACTTGCTCCTGTAAAGCACTCTAGCCCGAACACTTTTAGCCCGAGTCGCTCGGGGGCTCCATGAGGGTACAATACTAAGAATTACCTCTCTTTTTTACTATCACATGGTAAACAACCTTGTCCCCGAACGGAAGCACATTCCATTCCTGTGATTGCCCTACGTAACTTTGTTCTTACTCCTAACTGAGCGCACCCCGCCATGACCTACGGTTACGAGCAGCCGAGCCTCGTGGGCCATGCCTAGGTTCTTAAAAGCTACAACCTATGGAACTAACGGGTAGGTGAAAAAAACAAAGGACAAAAACAAAGGCTATGCTAGAAGAATCATTGGCCAAGACCTAAGAAGTTGTGCTTATGACCCAGCAAGAGATGGAGGAGTTCAAGAAACAAGAAGCGAATGATCTGATCCTTCAGCACATCTTGAACCTCAACTCAGGTAATAGAGCTACTTAGCTTGTTTGTTCCTGTGCTTGCTAGGTTCCTCTGCAGTGCCCTGGTACTGAGCAGTGTGGTTACATCACCTGTGAACTTTGTCGGTTATGTCGCTTGTGAACTTGGTACCTTTGCTTGGGAACTAATTTGTTTGTGAACTGGTGGTTCCAATTACGTGAACCAATGATGTGTGTGAACTTGTGGTTCTCCTGTGTTGGGGAACTTTGGTTGTATGAACATTAAGTTTGTGATGTATGAACCTACGTTTGTGCTTGATGTATGAACTTGTGCTGGATGTGTGAAAATAAGTTCTGTTTCTGGAATAATTGCTGAGGCTGGGCATGAATGGTACTGCCTATGCTTTATATTAAATTCGTCAATTTTTTATGACGAAAAACAAACGTCATTACGTAACAGATGACACGTCATCGCTCATGTGCTGCCACGTAAATGCACAATAGAACGCCACATGTCAACCATGTAATCATAAATGTGTCAACCTCCCCGCCATACACGTGTCAACCTTGTCGTCATACACGTGTCGACCTCTCCATCATACACGTGTACGCTGGAACGCCGGCTGAAACAGTTCAGTGACAGGGGCAAAATCATCATGTTTGTAATGATATCTATGACGAAACACACCAAATCGTCAACGTGCAATAGTTATGACGCTACAAAGGTGACGAACAGAATTTCGTCACAGATATATTTCCATGATGTTTTTGGCCTTTACTATGACAAAAGTGAAACGTCTTAGATGTGGACTTTTTTAGTAGTGCAATAGCATCAACAATAGGGGATAATCTGCAAATGCGCTAAACCTCATACAATTTCCAGCTCAGACCTCTCAGAGTTGTATAAGCAACGGCTACAACCAAAATAGGCAGTTAGTAAGTGGCACTAAGTGCTGGAGATAAAAAAAAAAGAATAAAACAAAACAGTGCAGAGTACACAATCCTCTACCTGGATCCCAATTAATTTTTCTACAATTCTCCAGCCTCCTCCTCAAACCTCAAGGGCGCCGCCACAGAAGTCATCTGAGAATTATCTGCTGCAGCAGAAGCGGTGAGCAGCCGCCGCCGATCCAGGGGGTCGTCGTCGTGCTTTATGCTGCCTGTGCTTGTAGCTATTCGGTGGCCCTGTGCTCTCAGCGGCGGTGGTGTCGCAATCCAATCCAGCGAGCTCGCAGTCTCAGGTATACACTTGTTTGCCCAGACCCCCTCAGCCCCTCTATGATCGTCAATCTTCATCCTTCAGTTTTTTGTTCCGTTTTGCTTTCGGCATCTCGGTTTTCTACTTTCCTCTAAGAAGCCCACGGCGGCGGCGCGAGGGTCGTGTGAGACTCGTGAGTCGCTGCAACAAACTGAAGAGGTATCTCGCTCTCTTGTCCCATAGCTTTCGTCATCTCTATCCAGTTCATGAATTTTGAAGCATTGATGAAGCGCACGGATACTCCAGGAATGAAGGTATCGGGAATTCTTCGCTGGCCGGTGCGGCGGACTTGTCGGGGCTAGAGCCGTGGCGCGAGCTCTTCCGCGGTCGCGACATCTACGATGTGATCGGCAAAGTCATCCTGGTCGCTGCCACCGACTCGCCGCAGGAGTTCCGGCGCCGCCGTGACGGCATCATGGAGCAGATATACACCGCGCCGACCGTGCCGATTCCGCAGGGAAGGGCTGCAGCTGCAGGCGAGCGCAGCGGCAGAGCGCTGGAGGTGTCGGATAAGGGAAGCAAAGTGGCGACCTGCACGGTCGCGCCTGCGGAGGAGCCTGAGGATAACAACGACAAGAAAAAGGGCATCGCCGCGGCCCAGCACGCAAATGGCGACGGTGACAAGGCCGACGACGCTGACTACGGTGCGGCTGGGATGGAGTGGCTGCAGTGTCTCGCTGATCAGATGGACGCAGAAAGCCTGGAGATCAATGAGGTTCTACGGATCAAGGACATCCTCCTAAATCACCATGAGCAGGTAGCAAACTGGAAGAATACAAACCATTAAATCATCGTAACCCTAGCTTGTCGATCTGAACCATGGCTGCATTAATTTATTGTATTTACCTTACAATGGTTTTCTCTGTCATTGTTGCAGTCAGCTGACAACTTGTTCGATTCACTGAGGAGGCCACAGCTGATGGAGCTCACTGCGGATAAAATCAAGGTACGTATACGTATAACTAGGGGGATGAAACTCACAAGCTGCATGCCTTAGAAACGATGTTTTAAATAGCCAGCTTTAGCTTCTGGGAAGACGGGGCTAATCTAGGTTTAGAGTTCAACACTTTTTTGCCCCTATTAGATGGATTTAGCGCACTAAATCCGCTAAATTGCATCCCATTTAGCCCACTAATCAGGCAGGGGAACCAAACATGGCTCCCAACTAGTTGAGCAAAGATAATCTTGTATGAACTAGTGTGTTGTTTGTGATATGTATCATGTATGAACTAATGTGTTTGTGAGACTATCACTTGCTAGTTGGTATTTTTAATATCTAGTTCGTCTTTTAGGTTTATATATGTGTAAAATTCCCTAATGTTTAACATGTTTTTTGTTCGGCCACCAAATGAGTTAGCCCGTTCACTACTGGAAACGCGTGCTTTGCCGAGGGCCTGAGGATTAGGATTTGCCGATGGCCAAATCTCAGACACTCGACAAAGACACTCTTTGCCGAGGGCCAGCCACAGGAGCCCTCGGCAAAGAACGGCCCTCGGCAAAGAGGCCTTTGCCGAGGGTACGGCCCTCTGCAAAGACATGCCCTCGGCAAATCAAATCTTTGCCGAGGGCCGCGGCCCTCGGCAAAGATGCTCTCGGCAAATTAGGCCCGTTGGGTCACAGCGGCCATTTCCCGTCAAGCTTTGCCGAGGGCCACCCGTTAGGCCCTCGGCAAAGGTTTTTTTCCTGTGCAACCAGGTTATTCGGCAAATTTTTTTTTAAGTCTTTGCCGAGGGCCCTAGACCAGGCCCTCGGCAAAGATTTTTTTAAAACCAGTTTTTCGGCCAAATTTTTTTTTATAAATCGCCTTTGCCGAGGGCCCGAGGCTAGGCTCTCGGCAAGGATAGGCCCTCGGCAAAGATTTTTTATTTTTTTTAAAAAAATTCTTTGCCGAGGGCCATGGGGCAGACCCTCGGCAATTTTTGTTTTTTTGTTTTTTTAGCCCAGTTTTTTTGTGGTGCTACAATACATTGTTTTGAACTCAATTTTAAAATTTAGGCCAATTTTGATTTTGTTTTGTATATTTTCTTAATTTATTTCGATTCTTTGATTTTTTTTCGAATATGTCAAATTTGAACTGCAGGTGCATGGAATATTGCAATGTAGTGTTTCGAAAAATGTTATTCATGTTAATTGGTGCATGTTGAGTCCCTATCCACGACCTCGCATCAAATTTTCACGCATCTTGTTCGCGTAACATGACGACCGACTTGCCGGAAAAGTGTTTTAAAATTATATAAAATCCATACAAAGTCCGAAAATCACGAAACTTGGCGAGATGTCATGTTATCGCATGTGTAGGCTATGGTAAAAAATTAAGAAGGCTTCGAGTGAGTTGCGACGTCGGATGCCTGAAACCCAGACATCTTCACATGTGATTTTATACCACAGCCTACACATGCGATAACATGTGGAGATGTCTGGGTTTTAGGCATCCGACGTCGCAACTCGCTCGAAGCCTTCTCAATTTTTTACCACAGCTTACACATGCGATAACATGACATCTCGCCAAGTTTCGTGATTTTCGGACTTCGTATGGATTTTATATAATTTTAAAACACTTTTCCGGCAAGTCGATCGTCATGTTACGCGAACAAGATGCGTGAAAATTTGATGCGAGGTCGTGGATAGGGACTCAACATGCACCAATTAACATGAATAACATTTTTCGAAACACTACATTGCAATATTCCATGCACCTGCAGTTCAAATTTGACATATTCGAAAAAAATCAAAGAATCGAAATAAATTAAGGAAATATACAAAACAAAATCAAAATTGGCCTAAATTTTAAAATTGAGTTCACAACAATGTATTGTAGCACCACAAAAAAACTGGGCTAAAAAAACCAAAAAAAAATTGCCGAGGGCTCTTTGCAGAGGGCCTGCCTCGTGGCCCTCGGCAAAGAATTTTTTTTAAAAAAAATAAAAAATCTTTGCCGAGGGCCGTGGATCTGGGCCCTCGGCAAAGCACCGAACCCTAAATCGGGCCGCAGCCCAAATTCCCGATAGGAAATTGTGAAAAAAAAACGCTCGACCATCTCCCCCCCCCACTGCGCATGGCCATGGCCCAGCCGCAGATCCCATCCGCATGCAGGCCCAGCACCGTGCCCACATTACGCCACTTGCCTGCTTCTAGCTCTTCTGCACTGCTTGCTGGCCCTGCCCGGCTGGCCACACCACCTTCCTTCAAGGCCATTCCGGTGGCCCTGTGCTGCACTGCCACACCGCCCGACCGCCCTGAGCCAGCAGCCCAGCGCCTCCACCACCGCCACCCATCCCTCCCGCCCAAGGCTCGGCCACCAGCTCGCCGCCCGGGCCCCCGCCAGGCCCGCCGCCCACCACGCCTAGTGGCGGCCGAGGTCGCGCCCTGCCTCCGTTCCCCATCTCCGTCGAGCAAGGGGAGGTCGACCGCCCCGGCTGGCCCTCCGGCGGCTCCCCCTCGCCGGCCTTTCCGCCCCGACCCCAGCCCCCAGGCCGCCCCCGTTGCCGGCTGCTATTGGAGGGGAGGAGGCAGAGGGTGAAGTTGGAGGAAGAAGAGAAGGAGAAGAGGAGAAGGAGGAAGGGGAAGAAAAGGAGAAGAAGAGGAGAAGGAGGAAGGGGAAGAGAAGGAGAAGAAGGGGAAAAGGAGAGAAGAAAGGGAAGAGGGAGAGAGGAGTACTCCAACGCCGCTCGACCTTGCCGGAGAAGAAAGTGACCCCCGCACCACGACGCCCGACTCCACCGCAACCCTAGGTAAAACTCTCGTTGTTGGCCTTCGTGCCGTATGTGGTTGTGTGGGCCTTCGTGCCGTAACTTGATATGAGGGCCTTCGTGCCGTTGTGGTTGTCGGCCTTCGTGCCGTTGTGAATGTCGACCATCGTGTCATTTTTTTGCAGGTTTTGGAAACCTCCCCGTGCAGGGGAGGTGCTGCCAAAATTTTGAACAAAAAATAACCTATTGTCTTTTTATGCAGGAGAAGAGTACGTCGGAGGGGACCCGGAGGACCCCGATCGTCTTCGTCGACGTCACGGTTCTGCCTGCACTGCGTCGCCACGCCACTGCATTGATTCGCCACTGCCCCGCTAGCCTTACTTCACCGACACCCTAGGTATAAATAACCTCTTTTTGCGCATGTCTGTCGTAGCCCGCGCGTAACCCAGTTAGGCGTCTCCCGTCCGAAAGAGATACGGTCGTAGGTATGCGGATCTTTGCGTATCTGTGAGCGTATCTGTTTCAGATTGTCCACGTTTTTTGGACAGCCCGTGGATGTGTAGATGGGTTAGTTTCCATGGTCCGCTCCGGTCCGAGAAGGAGTTTCGGCAACACCTCCCTGTTGTTCTCCGGATACACACTCTCCCTTGCAGGACGTGTATCGGGAGAACAATGGGAAAATCTTGCCGAAATCTGTCTCGGAGAGAGCGGAGCATGAAACCGACTCATCTACGCATCCGCTGGTGGATTAGGACCTATCCTCACCTATTATTAGGTAGGGAACACCGCGTAGATGCAATTGATGGTCACAATACTCTATGCTGTAAATGTTAAGGATGGAGGACCGTCAGTGGATGTACACGGGCTGGAGAAGCGGGAGTGACTACGACTATGAATGGGTGAAGGGAAGATGGTTTCTTGAAAAATGCATTTGGCCCAGGGGTAGGAGGACATTCTCTAGTTTGGTGTCCCTACAGCAAATGTGACAACAGGAGAAAAGTAGACGAGAAGACCATGGGTAGACATCTTGTGTTCAATGGTTATACGCCTGGCTACCAGCAGTGGATCTACCATGGTGAAGCAGATCGTATAAGAGCGGAGGTGGTGAGAGCACGCCTCGAGGCTTTTGATGATGATGTCGGGGTAGCAGACATGGTAGATGACGCCCACCAAGCTCACTTCGCTAAACGACGTGAGAAGGAGGAGATGGAGGAATCCGCAAAGGACTTCTACAAAATGTTGGACTCGGCACAGAAACCCCTTCACGAGCATACAATGATTTCTCAGCTAGATGCGATTGGACGCGTAGTGGGGTTGAAGGCCGAATTAAACCTGAGTCGAGAAGGCTTCGATAAGATGTTGGCCGTGTTTGTCACTATGCTACCGGAGAAGCACACTTTGCCGACGAACTTGTACGAGGCAAAGAAACTCCTTCGTATGCTTAAGATGCTGTATGACAAGATACATGTTTGTCCGAAGGGGTGCGTCCTATTTAGGAAAGAACACAAGGATGCAAATTATCGTCTCAAGTGTAAATCCTCCAGTACACGGAGGTAGACTCAGTGATGGTCGGAAGAAGAAGCTTCCGATCCCATGAGAGTGCTACGTCACCTTCCTTTCCTACCGAGGATCCAACGACTATTCATGACCGAGAATCCGCAAAGCAGATGACATGGCACAAAGATGGCAAACGGTACATTCACAGGAAGATGGTACATCCGTCGATCTTTGAAGCATGGACGTATTTCAATGACAAACATCATGACAAAGCGGTGAGGCTCGTAATGTACGTGTCGACCGGCAGCAGATGGGTTCAATCCTTATGGAATGATGGCTGCCCCATACATCTTTGGCCCATTTTGTTATCCCCTCAATCTCCCTCCGGCATCTCCTTTCAACGGCATAACGTATTCTTGTCGTTGATAATTCCCCGACACCCGGGGAGTAATATGGGTGTGTTCATGGAGCACTGTGATTGATGAATTGATCCACGCTTGGGAGAAGGGGTATGGACATACGATCAAGCTACAAAGACAAGCTTTAAAATGCACGTTTGGTACCACTACTCCCTGCATGACTTCTGGCGTATGGGTTATTCATTTGCTGGTGTGTTCACACGGAAGTTCCCATGCCCAAAGTATGCAAGGAAGCCGTGAGGTTCATTTGGTTGAAGAAGGGTGGCAAGTATTCGTCGTTCGACCAACATAAATCAGTTCCTCCTCTAAACCATGAATTTAGAGAAGACATCAAGAGCTTTACAAAAGGTGTCAAAGCGACAGACCCTAAACCGCACTTGAGGACTGGTGCCGAGGTTCGTGTTCAGATAGATGCTCTCGTGCCCAATGAAGAAGGTGGTTTTGTGGGATATGGTGAGGAACATATGTGGACTCATAAATCCCGGCTTGACGAGGCTCCCCTATTTCGATGACCTTCTTCCGCCACATAACATTGATGTAATGCACCTTTGAAAAGAATATCGC